TGGGGAAATATTGGATGAAAAGGGTGAATTTAAAATGATGCAAAATTTAGAAGAACACGGTATAAAGATGAATTGGTTTTCATATGTGCAAATACACTCAAGGTATGTTAAAGATTCTAAAGCAGAGGGATTTTATGATAAATTGACCAACTTAGATAAGATTTTGACAGGTACTGATGAAAAAGTGATTAAAAAATTATATGGTTATTTACTGGAAATTAAACTAGAGGAAGAACAAGTTAAAGAAACGATGATTGCTTGGGAGAAGAATTTTGGATATGGGATTGATTTAGAGAAATGGCAAAAATTGTGGTCTCAAAATTATAAAATGACAATGTCAACAGCATATAAAGAAAATCTGTATAAGATGTTTTACAGGTGGGATTTTCCCCCGACAAGAATAGCAAGAATGTTCAAGAATAAATCTGAAAAGTGCTGGAAATGTCATCAGATACCTGGCTCATATTACCATATGTGGTGGACTTGTGAGCACGCTAGAAAATATTGGACTAAAATTTGCATATGGTTGGAAAAAATGACAAACATATAAAGCCAGAGATTTTTTTATTGGGAATCTTACCTGATACATATAATAAAAATTTGAAATATTTGATTGTAAATGTATTAACAGTGGCTAGGATTGTATTTGCTAAAAATTGGAAGAGTGAGAAAATATCATCACAGGAAGAAATTATTAAGAAAATATTGGAATGTGCTGAAATGAGTAGATTGACATTTGAAATTAGAGAAGAAGAAGATAAACAATTCTATGAAATTTGGGATCTTTTCTATCAATGGTTAGATAATAAAATATAATAATAGAATATTTAGAACCTTAGGAAACAATGAATACATATTTCTTTTTTTTCTTTGATACTATCTTTATAAAATTCTATTAAGATAGACTTGGTTTGACTTTATGATTTGCTATAAAATAAATTAAGTAAACTATAGTTATCTTGTTAAAGTATGAATTAATAAAACTATAGTCAAATGATTGTTTAATAATGATATCAGGCTATATAATTGTTGATTGATAATATGAGCTATTATGTAATATAACTACAATGGAGACTATGAAATGGAGGCACAAAAAAAGTGGTAAACCAACTGACACACTGTCTGTAAACTCATGAAGGAAAGGATGATGTTTTTATGTTTTATGTGTTTTTGTTTGTTGTTAAAATTAATAAAACTGTTTTAAAAAAAATAGTAGACAGTATAAGGTTAAAGTTTTTGGGGTTTGGGGAAGAAACCACAGAGTCAGGTAAAGTATTCCAAGCATTGACCACTCTGTTGCTGAAGTCGTATTTTCTGCAATCAAGTTTGGTGCGGTTAACCTTCAGTTTGTATCTATTGTGTGCTCTTGTATTGTTGTGGTTGAAGCTGAAGTATTCATTGACAGGTAGGACATTGCAGTGGATAATTTTATATACTATACTTACAGTAGATCGGACCAAAGGCGGCGTAGTTCTAGGTTGTCTTGGTCTAACATTTCAAGTCTGGTGGCATAAGGTATTCTGCTACGAGTAGAGGAGTAGAGAACTCTTCTTGTAAAATATTTCTGGACTTTCTCAACTGTGTTAATATCAGATTTGTAATGTGGGTTCCAGACTGATGAGCTGTATTCGAGTATTGGCCTAGCAAATGTTTTGTATGCTCTAGTTAGTAGTGCGATATTACCAGAGAAAAAGCTACGTAAGATTAGGTTAACAACTCTTAATGCCTTTTTGGCTATGTAGTTACAGTGGGCTCTGGCACTTAACTCATTAGAGATGAGTACTCCAAGATCCTTGACAGAGCTTGGATCATCAACAAGATCTTGACTATTCAGCTTGTATTTTATTTTCTGATTTTTTTGCCAATATGTAAGACAGAGCATTTATTTGTTGAGATTTGAAGTTGCCATTTGTTTGACCATTCTGATACATAGTCAAGGTCTTTTTGAAGGATAGCAGTATTGTCTGTGGTGTTGAATAGCTTGACATCATCAGCGAAGAGAAAGCAGTTGCTCTTAATATGATCACAGAGGTCATATGAGGTCACAGAGGTCACAGAGGTTATGTAAAGTATATAGAGAGTTGGTCCTAGAACACTGCCTTGTATGACACCACTGTTGACAGGTACAGGATTTGATAGGGTGTTCCCTATTCTGACAATTTGTTGCCTGTTTGACAGGAATGCATTTATCCAGTTATGCAGGTGTCCAGAGATGCTATAAGATTTTAATTTTAAGAGTAGCTTATCATGTACCACTGAATCAAAGGCTTTACAGAAGTCTATATAAATAGCATCAATTGCTTTGCCCTGATCAAGTTGTGTAGTCCATGTTTTTGCAGTGTAGGAGTTGTAGATTACAGGATAATTTTTTTCTGAAACCAAATTGTTTGTTAGAGAGTAGGTTGTTTGTCTCTAAATGGAGAATAATGGATTGGTTAATAATTGATTCCATGACTTTACAGGTGATGCAACATAAAGATATTGGTTTGTAATTTTCAACCAACTGCCAAGCATCTGAATTCTGATCACATGATGCTTCAAAGATGTGAAAAACAGTCATAAGTTATATTTTTCAGTGCCGTTGTAACTTCGGTCACTAAATGAACTATTGTAAGTCAAGGACTATTAGTACTTATGATTAGAAAGATTAGAAAGACTACACTTTAGTCTCTTCTTTGTTTCACCATGTCACCACAACTTTGTTTATATTCAGCTTCTAAATATAACAAGAATACAGTGATCTATAACCACTATTGCTATAAGGTACCCATTTTTCTACGAATGCCGTTGGAATTTATGTTTGTGGAAAATGGAAATAGCTGATTATTTAATTGTTCATGATAAAGGAATTAATTGTCTTAGGTAAGAGGGAAGGCTTTTTCTCAGATGCAAGATAACACCCACATCTCACCCCCCAGGGCTAAATTGCATTCTCCTGTGCTTTAAGAAATAATGTTACAGTATATACAGGTGAAACTCAAAAAATTAGAATATCATGAAAGTTCATTTATTTCAGTAATGCAACTTAAAAGGTGGAACGAATACATGAGATAGACTCATTACCTGCAAAGCAAGATAGTTCAAGCTGTGATTTGTCATAATTGAGATGATTATGGCTTACAGCTCATGAAAACCTGCTGAGGTGTTATGGAAGACCAGGATGCTTCAATAGCAGCCTTCAGCTCTTCTGCATTGTTCAGTCTCATGTCTCTCATCTTTCTCTTGGCAGTGCCCCATAGATTCTCTAAGGGGTTCAGGTCTGGCAAGTTTTCTGGCCAATCAAATCACAGTAATTGTCATTGAACCAGGTTTTTGTGCTTTTGGCAGTGTGGGCAGGTGCCAAGTCCTGCTGGAAAATGAAGTCAGTATCCCCATAAAGCTCGTCTGCGGAAGGAAGCATGAAATGCTCCAAAATCTCCTGGTAGATGGCTGCGTTAACCCTGGACTTAATGAAGCACAGTGGACCAACACATAGCTCCCCAAATCAACACAGACTGTGGAAACTTCACACTGGACTTCAAGCATCTTGCAGTGTGTGCCATTCTTTCTCCAGACTCTGGGTCCTTGGTTTCCAAATGAGATGCAAAAGTTGCTCTCATCAGAAAATAGGACTTTGGACCACTGAGCAACAGACCAGTTCTGTTTTTCTTTAGCCCAGGTAAGACGCTTGTTTGTTGTTCAGGAACGGCTTGACAAGAGGAATACGACATTTGAAGTCCATGTCCAGGATCCGTTTGTGTGTGGTGGCTCTTGATGCACTGACTCCAGCCTCAGTCCACTCGTTGTGAAAGTCCCCAACACTTTTCAATGGCCTTTTCCTGACAATCTTCTCCAGGCTGCGGTCATCCCTGCTGCTTGTGCATCTTTTTCTTCCACACTTTTCCCTTCCACAGAACTTTCTATTAATGTGCTTTGATATAGCACTTTGGGAACATCCAACTTCTTTTGCAATTACCTTTTGAGGCTTTCCCTCCTTTATGGAGGGTATCAATGATGGTTTTCTGCACAACTGTCAGGTCAGCAGTCTTTCCCATGATTGTGATTCCTACTGAACCAGACTGAGAGACCATTTAAAGGCTCAGGAACCCTTTGCAGGTGTTATGGCTTAATTAGATTAGAGTGGGACACTTTGAGCCTAGAATATTGAACCTTTTCACAATATTCTAATTTTCTGAGTTTGTGGATTTGGGATTTTCATGAGCTGTAAGCCATAATCATCTCAATTATGACAAATCATGACTTGAACTATCTTGCTTTGCATGTAATGAATCTATCTCATATATTAGTTTCACCTTTTAAGTTGCATTACTGAAATAAATGAACTTTTGCACAATATTCTAATTTTTTGAATTTCAACTGTATGCTTTCTTCAACCATCTGCAGGCCAGGGAGAAACTTTAGGAAAAGTGGATACTATAGATGTAATATGTGGACATTCAGTAACTTGGATTACTGTTTTTGATTATATGCCCCCCCTCCCCCACACACCTACACTCTCACTCACATACATACCAGTGAGGAAAAAGAAGAGCTAAAGAATGAGATAATTCTCTAACTATATGTGTATGGAACATCTGCATGGACACAAGATAAGCATAGCAGAATAATACCATAAAATAGGAGAATTGGAAGGGATCCTGGAGGTCTTCCTGCTCAGGCAAAAAACTCTGTACAGAGGGACACCTTTTCGCCAGGAACATGATCTGACCTTTAGCAATATGGGAAAAGTCTGGTATGGACTATAAGTACTGTTATCACATGCTGATCTTGTCTTCTAATGATGCAACTATGAATTTTGCAACTTAGCTAACTATTAACACATTATCTATAGTATTTGTGACAAGTTACATACCTTGCTTTTAGATCTAACAAATAGTAAAGATCTAAAGTCTCATGATTGTTTATCATTGCTGCTTCACTGAAAATCAGAGCATTCACTATTTCATCTGGCTCTGGTTAGAACATTTTCTTCTACAACTAAAAATTATCCTTTAATAAATATGTTTAATTTCAGATTCCTATTTAATACAGCAAATATACATAAAATCAAGCATTCGGTACAATGTATTCGGTAAGTGTTTAAATATCTCACAGGTGAATCTTGAGCCGTACAGACTGTTCTTTAATATCTGCTATAAAATTTATGAGATTGATAGCCCATATCTTCATTTTTAGTAGTGTTAATTTATATATCAAACTATCAAACTAAAACAAATCAATTTTATTGAAAAATAGCTATGTTGATGATATATTAGTCTTTGTCCCCTGTTTCTAGAGTATGTAATAATTGTATGTACCAGAAATAATTTGCATTTGTACTTTAAATCAATGACATATTCTATTATTTACAAATGGTTCGACACTTTTCCTCTCTGATGTAGCTGAGAAATTATATAAAGTTCTTTTATAAGTGTGGGGATGGGAAACAAATCTTTGAAAAAATAATAAGAGCAACTTATTTATTTGTCATGAATTACTTTAATTGTCTCAATATAATGTGAAAGGAAACATGGTGGCAGCAAATTTAATGTTAACTAAGTCTTAGAATAATGCTAATATGACCAAAAGAATTGAATTATATTGTCAAAAATTGTGTTGCAGTTATTCATTGGTTTTCAATCTCTCTGGATCTCTTGTGAATATGAGAGAGGAAAATAATAACTATAGCACCAGCTTGAGTGGTCTCTAGATATATGGACTTCATATCCTATATTTCTTTGACCAAGAAAATCTTTGCATAAGATTCTGACAGCTGAAGTCCCACATTCATAAAGGCTGCAATACTGTTTTGTCTTCATTAACAGTCTTGCCAGTTCTCCACTATGCATTGCTTCATGTAAATTGTATTTATTTATTTATCTACCTATATGGTAAAAATAAAAATAAAAAGGATGAGGACATCTGCTTTTAAAAGAGAGCTCATCTAGTAAGTATTTTACTTATCTGCTCTGCCGACTGTTAGTTCTAGTCTTGCCTTGGGCACAAAGCCAGCTGGGTGACCTTGGGCCAGTTATTTTCTTTCAGTCTTAGGAAGGAGGCAATGGCAAAAAAAACTTGCCATGAAAACTGCAAGAATCAGACACATTTGGACAGAAGGAAAAAAAAACCTTTATTCTACATGACAGCATGGCTAGTGGGCTATTAATAGGTGGATCAAATTGCTGAAAGTTATGAATATTACCAGTAGCTATCAACCTTAACTCTCTTTTGCAGAGTCATACCATTACACAGATAGTCCTCAACTTGAAACAATTCATTTAGGAACTGAACAGTTACAGCAGCACTGAAAAAATTACAACTGGTCCTCACACTTACAACTCTTGCAGCATTACAACCTACAGTTATATGATCAAAATTCTGGCACATGGCAACTGACATGTATTTCTGAGGTTGCAGTGTCCCGAGGTCACGTGGTCATCATTTGTGACCTTCCCAGCTGGCTTCTGACAAGTAAAATCAATGTGTGAAGCTCAATTCACTTAACAACTGCCTGATTTATTTAATAACTGCAGTGATTCAATTAACAATTGTGGCAAAAAAGTTGTAAAATTGGGTGTGACTCATTTAATTTTCTTGTCATCAATCAAAATTCTGGTCCCAATTGTTTATTTATTTTATTTCATTGTAATTTGTCAAATAGAAACAAAAACAAAAATTATATAAAAAAATAATGACAGGGATGGTAGGTACGTTTTCAGTTCACTTATGCATGCCCCCACTATGGACCTCTCAAATAGGAAGAGAGGTCCACAGTCAATTTGTGACTAAAACTGTGAAAATTTGTAGCTGAAACAATTCCAGACCTTGACAACTTGATTATAAAAATCATATTTTTTACTGTCGAGTTTAGAAGGATTCACATTGAGTTTAAAATGCTTGATTGCACATATATTATTGTGATTAAAACAAAAAAGTTACCTACAGGTAAAACATTACTATGTACAATTTTGTATACAATACCTAAGTCTGACTGTAAGCAATGCAGTTCCAAATTATCCAAACCAAGGATTTCTAGCTTAGTAGCATAGGGGATTCTATTATGTACAGAAGAGTGCAAAACTTTTCTCGTAAAATATTTCTGAACCCACTCAATTGTACTAATATCAGATAGGGATCAGTAGGGATTCCAAACAGTTGAACAGTACTCTAAAATTGGCCTGATATAAGTTTTATAAGCTCTAGTTAGCAATATAATGTTTCCAGAAAAAAAAAACTTTGTAAAATTAAGTTTACAACTCTTAGTGCTTTTTTAGCAATGCTGTTACAATGAACTCTGGAGCATAGATCATCAGAGATAAATACATCTAGGTGAGTGGTAGTATTCAGCCGGTTCGCAATGGGTTGGGTGAACTGGTAGCAAGAATTTGGCATGGGTCACCGAACTGGTAGTAAGTTCTGGCTGGCCACGCCCCCTCACCCGGTTGCCCTCCCGCCTGATGCTCGCTCACCCTGCCCACCTGCCTGACATTCGCCAAAGGTAAGTATTTCTTTTTTTTCCGTCCCGATAATCAGCTGTTGATAAGATCAGCTATGCCGGGATTCCCCTTGCCCAGGAAGGCAAAAAATGGAGGGAGGAGCTCAGCCCCCCTCCATTTTTTGCCTTCCTGAGCCCCAGAGAAGCCTTAGGGAAGCAAAAACGCCCCCCCCCGAGGCTCCTCTGTGGCTAAGAAGCTCCCACACCCATCCAGTCACATGGCCATGCACACCAAGCCACACCCACAGAAAGGGTAGTAAAAGTTTTTGAATACCACCACTAACCTAATTCTGAACAAAGTGAGGGTCATCTGCTAGATCAATACCACCTAACTTATACTTGATATTCTGATTCTGTTTACCAATATGTAAGACAGAGCATTTATTAATTGAAATTTGAAGTTGACAAGTGGATGACCATTCAGACACATAGTCGAGATCACTTTGCAAAACAACAAAATTGGTTTCAATTGTGGTTGTAAGTCAAGAACTACCTGTACTAAGTGTGCCCATTATTGGTGCACCATACCATTATCTTAATTCATTATCTAATGTAAAAGTGCAAAATATGGAGTCAGCTGATGCCACATACCAGTCATTTTTCTTTCTTGCAGTTTTGCAAAAATATCATTCCCATATATTTTATGGAGTAGTTTCTGAGCCAAATATGAATTCTGCAGAAAGCAAATTTTAAATAACTATTTGGAGGTTACTTATGGGAAAATAAAGGTTAGAGTTCTTGATGAATGCATAGTTATGTCAGGAACCTCTGGATATTATTATTTATTTATTCATATCCTCTTATTTTGAAGTGAAGTTTCAAAAGAGATCTATTTTTAGTTCTATTTGTAACCAAAGAATGCAATTTTTTGAAGTCTTGTTTTGACTGAAAAATTCTACATTCCTCTTCAACTGTTTGTCTACTTCTTCCTATTCTGTTCTGCCATTCCCCTCAACCATGATAATCCAGAAAAGCCTTCCTTTATCTAGCGACCTTCAGATAGTTTGAGCTACACTTCCCATCAGTGGTGGGATTCAAACTTTTACTACCGGTTCTGTGGGCGTGGCTTGGTGGGCATGGCAGGGGAAGGATACTGTAAAATCTCTAGTCAGAGGTGGTATTTGCTGGTTCTCCGAACTACTCAAAATTTCTGCTCCCGGTTCTACAGAACTGGTCAGAATCTGCTGAATACCACCTCTGGTTCCCATAATTGTGTTGAATCTTGAGGTAGAATCTGGCTGCTATGTATGTGCTAATGGCACTCTTGTTCCACGAAGAAGATCTGTCTGTCTGTCTGTCTGTCTGTCTGTGTATTCCACAGAGTACAGATTGCTGGAGGAGTTCCTCAGTGATTTTGTGGGAATTTCCTCTGTGCACTTTGCCAACTCCTGGAACTCAGAGATGAGGAGGGTGCTAGATGAGGTTGGCTCTGAGTGGCCTTTTGTTCTCACAGATCTCAGAAGTCTCCTTTATCTCTTGAGGAAATTAAGCAGGTAAAGAGCACTTGGAGCACAAGTAAAAGGAACTGAAGAATGAATGTGATCATGCACATTTACATAATCCTGTTTGGGACTATAGAGAAATGAATAATCAATCACAGGGAACATAAATGATCACTTAATACTGATTAATTGTGAAAAGCAAGTTCTTAATTATAAATATTTTTGTCTCCCCCACCCCTCCAATAGTTCTAGACACAGGCAACCCATTGAAACTTCCACTAAGTTAAAAGGTCAAGACCTCTTAACCCTACAAAACTATACACCCGAAGAAATCAAATATTTGCTTTGGGTAGCATCAGATTTGAAAAACAGAATCAAATACAAAAAAGAGGTAATATGAATACTTTTGCTCTCATTTCTTTATGCTTTTCTTCCCATATGGATTCTTGTATGATTCTGTAACTATAGATATTCATTGTACTTCAAAAATTAGCCACGTTTTAAAAATACTTTAGATTGTCAAAATAACACTCTCATCATAATGTGTATTTAGTATGTTATGGCTAATATATTTAAGCTAAAGTCCTTGGGAATAAATATCACTTATTGAAATTTTATTTGAAAGTAAAATATGTAACATTTTGTTTCTGCTTTGCATTATATTATGCCCTTAAATGAAGGAGGGTAGTCTCAATCCTCCAGTTAGTTTGGAACCACAACTCCCAGTTTTCTTCAGGCAGGATCAGAAAATTCTTTCCTACTGAAAAGGAATAGTTGTATCGTTTAAAAAAGAAAAAATCCCATCCTTCATCTTAAAACAATTCAACAGCAAAACGCTATAAGCTAATTTGATTCAAAATAATTATTGTACATTTCAGTGTGTGATATATACCACCTTTTTCTTTCTTGTATTTCAGTATTTACCTTTATTACAAGGCAAATCTTTAGCCATGATTTTTGAGAAAAGAAGCACAAGAACTAGATTATCTACAGAAACAGGTAAATATAAACTAAAATATTATGGCTATACATACATTTTCTTTTGTGGCCTGCATAACATTTAACTGCTGACATTACAATATACTGTATTTAGAGTTTTAAGGAAAGACCAATATTGTTTAAAAATACGGATTGTCATTATTTCTCTCACAATTAGTTTTTTAGAGTTATGATTTGTTACCATTACAAGTAAAACAGAATTTGTAACAGAAGGGATTCTTTCAAACCACTCAGAATTTAACCAAAGTAATTACAAAATACTTACAGTATATTTAACATAACCATCCTAATGTTTAAGGGACATACAAAGATTATTCAACTATCTAAATCTGCACATAATATTGTGACTGTGATACCAATAATAAAATATAGTATACAGATACTGGTAGTCTTTATCTTATGACCAAAATTGGGACTGGAATTTCCATCGCTAAGCAATGTGGTCATAAAGTGAGAGATCACATCACTGCATTGCTTACCACTGACAATCCCAACATTCCTTGTTGCTGTTGTTGAACAAATTCCATTGTGCGATGACCCAGGGTGGGATACAAAAATAAATACAGTCACAAAAAACAGGTGAAGCTCCTTTTATTCCTTCATTTTGCTTCCAAGCTCCAAATATCTTGACTGGAGACAAAAAACTCCCACACAAGCAGTTACAAGAAGGAGGAAATGCCATTTAAATTATAAAGAATAAAAAACAACACAAACCAGGCACGATAAGGGCTGGAAGACATCCACAGATATCAGAACACACAATGGGAAGAATGCCAAACTCAGAGAAGAACAATAAATTAGAGATATTTCTACACTTTGTTTCCAGCACTTGCCCATACACATGTCTGTCCTCTTATCCAGTTGTCACAGCTGCAGTCCATGAAGAGGATCAAGGTTCTCTCCTCCCCAGTAGACCACATCTCTTCCTTATCCTCTCCTCCCTGCATGCCTTAGGATTGAGAGGGGATAGGCTTGGGTCCTCCTCTGACTGCTCAGCCGGCCTCTGCCCTTTCCCAGCTTCCTCCATAACCTCTGGAGCCACACTTCCACTCCCTTTTGGCTGTTCCTCCTCTGCATCAGAGTCAGTCTCCACCAGACACTATCCCCCCCACAGGGCCCCCCCTCCCCCGAAACCAGGCAGATGGGGACTTTGAGGAAACCGAGCATGGAAGTGGTGGACCAAACAAGGAGCATGAACATCAGTGGCATCGACCCAGGTGAATGAACTGATCCAATAAATCACGGAAGATGTTGTGCATGAAATATATGAACACAGCTGGAGCACTGGTTAATCCAAAAGGCATCACAGTATACTCAAAATGACCATACCTTGTTCAGAAAGCCATCTTCCATTCGTCACCTGCATGAATGCAAACCAGGTTGTAGGCCCCACTCAAGTCCAACTTTGTAAAGATTTTAGCTTGCCGAAGCTGCTCAATCAGTTCAGGGATGAGGCATAACTCACCCAATTTCTTTTTAACTAAAAGCACCAGTGCAGCCAATGGGGAGGTAGAAGGCTGGATAAACCCTTTCCGGAGGTTCTTTTCAATAAAGTCCCACAACGCAGCCAGCTCCGGTTCCAACAGGGAGTATATCTCACCCACCGGCAATTTCACATCAGGCAACAAGTCAACTGGAGAGTTATACGACTGATGCAGAGGCAACTGATCCACTTCCTTCTCTCCAAACACATCAGCAAAGTCCACCAACTCCACAGGTAGATCCAAGTCCATGGGTGTAGCCACACTCCCTGCACAGGAGTGCAAGCAATGAGTGGCACACTTCTTGCCAAGAAACTGCATAGTTCCAGATGACCAGACGAGCTACAGATCATGGGCCTGTAATCACTCCAAACCCAGCACCAGCGGAAAATGAGATACTGCGGCAACATAGAACACAGCTTCTTCCACATGCTGTCCAATACGCATGTGCAGGGGTTTAGTTGCAGCAATTACAGGTCCCAAACGAAGGGGCCAACCATCAATCGTTTCCATCAATACTGGCAGGGACACCTGCTGCTGGGGAATTGACCACTGCTCAACAAAATGAGCGTCCATGAAATTGGCTGTGGCCCCTGAGTCCACCAGGGTCTGGATTTCTACCACTCTCTGACCAGGCACAAACACACTAAGCGGTCAGCACAAGATGCTTCACCAAGGATGACGGGGTGGAGATGGTGAGGATGTTGAAGATGTTGAAGATGACAAGGATGGTGAAGATGATGAAGATGGTGAAGATAGCAGGCCTGAGGACATTGGAACCCGACATAGAGACCCCCGTAGGCCAGGCAATGCTTGTTTCCCACCACTGCTGATTTCACTGCTTTAGGTGTCTTAGCAGGACACTTGGCCGCAAAATGGCCTCGATTGCCACAATAGAGGCATAAACCATCATGATGACGCGTATCCTTTCCCACTTGGATCAGGCGAGGGCAAGCAGCTCCCAACTGCATGGGCTCATCCAGAGGCACTTCCACCAGGGGCGCCATCTTGCTGGGAATGGATGCAGTCTCCATCCATTGTCGCACCTGTCGTTGCTGAAGCCTAGCATTGATATAAAGACACAGATGCATGAGCTCCTGCAGGGTGCGAGGGCATTCAGTGCACGTCAACTCGTCCAGGAGCTCCGATGACAAAACCTCCTGGAACTGGTCTATTAGTGCTGCTTCATTCCATTGTAAGTCCTGGGCAACCACCTGAAAGCTATCAATATAATCCGTGAGCGAGCCATGTCCCTGCTTCAATTCTCTCAATTACCTGTTTGCTGTTTGGGCCCAAACAGGGTTCTCAAACATGTCCTTGAACTGACGGCAAAACTCAGCATAATTGTCCAACAACTTGTTGGGCTGGGTCAACAGAGGCGTCACCCAATGTGCTGCAGGGCCTGACAACAAACTAATCAAAAACCACACCTTATCCCAGTCAGTGGGGAAGTCCTCTGGCCGAAGGCTCATATAAAGCTGGATTTCCGGTTTGCAAGGCTTCGGCGGGGCAGGAATCCGTGATCATGCATGGTCCCTGCTGCGCTCACCACCGAAGTGCCTCCGATCCATTTGGATCTGGAGAATATGGTTGCCCCGTAGAGGCAGCTGAAGAGAGAGGAGATCCGGACAGGGGCTTGGGGGTATCGCAAACCTCCTCCTCAGCTGGCAAAACTCCTTTTTCCCAAGGTGGTGGAACGGCGGTCAGTAATGGTGCCACAAAGAAGCCTGCAGCCAGGTAAGATTGTGCAGGAGGAAGTTGGAGAAAGTGAAAGTTTTTTGGCTGAACCGGGACAGCAAGGAAGTTTGAAACACCCTGGAAATTTAATTGTTTGAATGACACATTGTTTCCCAAGGAGACTGTGAAAGCAGCGGAAGAAGATTTAAAAGGGAAAGTTATTTTTTCTCACTCTCCCTCCCCATGGAAATAGCTGATGGAAATTGGAAAAATCTGCTTGGGCACAGAAGGTAACTAAACCTGAAATTTAAAGCCAAGGGGATAAAAGATTTCTGAATATTGGAATTTTGCTATAGGTGGGAGGGAAGAGGTAAAGAACTTATTTTAAGATTGTATTGAAGGAGACTGCTTGGAGTTTATAAGATCAGAAATAAGTGGCAATTAGACTTCTAAAAATTTACTTTGGAACTGTGTAACTGAATTCTACCCCAAGAAGAAAAAATATAAAAAGAAAAAAGTGCTAAATGAAATAATTTGTTCTGATTTGGATTGCTTTGTAACTCTGGGATTTTTGGGAACTATTTCTTGAAAGACTAAAAACATTTGGGTTGTTTTTAAAGGGAAAAAATGGCATTATCAGTTGAAGAATTACAAATGGAATTTCAAAAAGCTAAAAGAAGAGGAACAAGAAGGCAAGGGCTCTTCTGGATCTATTTTTCATCGTTTAGAAATGGTGATTTCTACCTACCAAGAAATACAACAACAAGGAAGCTGGGATGGAGAAGAAGAAGCCATCTTTAATGGACAGATAATCTTAGTTGAGGAAGAAAAGAGAAAGGAGGGAAATAAAATGGAGAATCTGGTCACGTTGCCAATTTCAAAAGCCGATACAAAAATTTATGCCACCAAATGAAGACCAAATGCACCAATTATCAAATTAAACAAGAGGAAAACCTTCTAAGCACCAATTCCACCAATTCCACCAATGCTTTTTACAATTTTGTAAACAACAAACTAAAAGATTCAAGGTCCATCCCACCCCTGATAGGACCTAATGGTAAAGACTGCAACGACGACACCATTAAAGCCAACATCTTTAACACATTTTTTGGCTCAGTATTTGTAAACAGCAATGGATCATGCCCAGCATTTCCTAGCCAAACCACAGATAACTACAGTGATCTAATACATATCGATTTTACAGAAGACAATGCTGAAAAAGCACTACGCAATCTAAAACCATCCCTATCTATTGGACCGGATGGAATATGTGCCTATTTCTTTTTTAAAAAAAAGTTATCCACTGCCATAGCCAAACCTCTAAGTTGGAAGAGAACAAAGAAATTTTAAATAAGACAGATGGATATAATGAATATATACAATTTAAGGCAAAAGAAATATAATTGAATAGAAGGAAAGGGAGAAATTAAAAGAAGTTGGGAAAAGATATGAAGTTGAACAGATAAGATGAATATACATATTAAACTGTGTTGGTATGGAAATGTGATAATTTGGAATTATCCTGTCTTTAAATAAGATGCTTTATTTGTTTTTGTTTTTAGAAAAGATGCCCTATGTTATTGTTCTACATTTTGTTTGTTTCTGTATTGTTTTTTTAAAATTAATAAAACTTGTTTAAAAAAAAAAGCTGGCATTGCCCCCAAAATGCTGGAAATTGGGCCAGTGATCCATCAAATTTATCTGGCACCGCTAACAGGCATTTGAGGTGTGGCCAGACAGCTTGCATCTGAGCAACCTGCACAGTCAAAAGAGGCACTTGCGGGCTTAACTGGGCATTGTCTGCTCTGAGCTGATCCATGGTCACCCCATGAAAAACAGAAGCAAATTGAGGGAGTGTCTGGAAACAAAATGTGATGACCCAGGGTGGGATACAAAATAAACACAGTCCCCCAAAAAGGTGAAGCCCTTTTATTCCTTCACTTTGCTTCCAAGCTCCCAATATCCTTGACTGAAGATAAAAAAACTCCCACACAAGCAAAGAAGGAGGAAATGCTGTTTAAATTACAAAGAGTAAAAAACAAGACAAACCAGGAAAGATAAGGGCTGGAAGACATCCATAGATATCAGGACACATACTGCGAAGGACACCAAACTCAGAGAGAAACAATAAACTAGAGATATTTCCATGCTTGGGTCCTGGGTCCTCCTCTGACTGCCCAGTAGATCTCTACCCTTCCCCAGCCTCCTCCACAACCTCCGGAGCCACACTTCCACTCCCTTTTAGCTGTTCCTCCTCTCCCTCAGAGTCAGTCTCCACCAGGGGCATGACACATTGTTTGTTAGCTGAGACCCCATCCCAAATCAAGTCATTTGAAATTGGTTACTCCTAGCCCCAAACCTTGGTTGTTCCAAGGTAAGGAACTGGCTTCCCTTCAATTCTCCCCACCTATTCCCCCCCCCCCCCATCTCTGTTTTTTGGGTCACCCTGAAAAGCTCTGGAGCTGTATAAACATTCTGCAGCTCAGGGGTTTCTTGGAATGCTGTTGATGTAATTGCCCATTAGGAGAATGAGCGCATACAGGGAGATGTAGTGAGAGAAGTGAAGAATAACACACACACAGTACACAGATACACTGTACAGTTAATGTAGGTTTTTACTTCCAATAAGCGTTTAAGCACAGTCCAAGATAAGCAGTCCAAGTCAGGTAAATCAGTCAGTGTTCAGTTCAGGGATAATCCAAATATCAAAGTCCAGTATCAAAAACAGTTCAGTAACAGACTTACATCAACGATTAGTAACAGTCAGTAGGAGGAATGGCAACTCTCTCCAACAGAAGAAATAGAGACTCACTGAGACTAATCACACATTCCTGAGACTAAACAATCCAGGTTTCTGGCTCCATCTTATGGCCATTTGCGGAACCACACCCAATTACAGTTTTAGCATGTTCTTAAAGACATAGTATTAAAATGACTATCCTAGTTTATATATTTCCAACCCAAATAACTGTTAGGTGACTTACATTCCTAACAAATGCCAAGGCTTTGGGGCTGCAAGAAGCCCCTGACACACAGCACAAAGCCAAAACCACACTTGGAAGCCTCAGTTGCTCCAGCCCTGGTCCAGAAGCAGATGTTATGTGAGGCTGCAGCCACACTGGGAAGCCCCAGCCTAGTCCCAGCCACAACCGCCCTTGCCTCCCTGTGCTCCTCCACCACAGCTGATCTTCACCATCTTCTTGCTCCTACTGCTCATAAGGTGTGCTTGCACTGGCAATTTGTGAAACAGCTGCTGGCCACATGAGACCTTCTTCCCCAGGTCTTACTAAGAAACTGCCATGTGCAACCTGGGGAAGAAAAGCTCACGTAGCTGGCAGGGCAGGAATTCTTAGTAAGCAATGGGAGCAAGAAGACTGGTGAACATTAACTGGAGCAGCAGGGGCCACAGAGTGCAGAGACCCAAAAGGCCATAGATGGAGGAAGTTGAGGCACCCCTGCAGCCATTAAATAAATGGTCATAAGTATTGAAGTGGCTGTTGGGTTTTTGTAGTTCTATGCTAGTTTCTTCCAAAACATTCTTGGAGTTCAGCTACCATCACTACCAAATAGCATGGAAATCATAAGCACTGTAGTCTAGTTAGACCTAGAGAACATCAGTTAAGGGAACTCTGGCAATATATTTCAGAAGAATGTATTTTTGAGGAGAAAAAAAATGGTATTTAACAAAAGATTTAGAATGTCTATGTTATCCTGTTTCCCTAGAAAAAGAACAAGTTTTTTTATTTTACAAAATAGAATTAATAGATACCAAGAATCACGAAGTCTGTTTGAAGCATTGATTTACATAGAATGTCTTCTTATTCTCTGCACCCTTATTATTGGAAGTATTTTAGGAATTATAATAAACACATGGCTATCACATGTTGAGCACTACTACTACTAATAAATTTATCTCTTACTTTCACTGGTTTGTAGGACATATGGCAATGGCTGTGCTGCCATCTTATGGTGGGATTAAAGCAAATCTTGACACCTTCTTAAAGAACACACACTTCAGTATACTATTGTCAAGGGAACAGAAGGAGGAAAATGAATAGAGTCAGGATCATGACATAAGATTAGGAACAGTGATGGGATTCAATTTTTTTTACTACCAGTTCTGTGGGTGTGGCTTGGTGGGCGTGGCAGGGGAAGGATACTGTAAACTCTCCAGTCGGAGGTGATATTTGCCAGTTCTCCAAACTACTCAAAATTTCCACTACCAGTTCTCCAGAACTGGTCAGAACCTGCTGAATACCACCTCTGATTAGGAAAGTCCACATTCTAATCAGAATTGAGCAATCTTTAGGGAACTGATTATATTGTTCCACAATTTCCATCTCCCATTTGTATGTAACAAGCAAATATGTATTTTCACTGCAGAAAGTGCATTCTATTGAAGGTGGTGCTATGTACATTCCGATATGAATTCTAAATCACACTTTTTTCTTTAAATCTGGATTACTGCACAATGCTAGAGTTTGTGCATAGTTATACTTTTATGGATTGCTTCTTTTAAAAAGCAAAGTTTTGTTGCTACTGAAATTCCACATGGGAATTGGATTTTGTTTCCATAGATTTGTTTAATTTTTTTGGAGAATCTCTGCAGTCTTTGGACAGTAATTGTGCTTGTTACTACATCTTTCAAGCAGAACAGACTCATTGTATAGAAGAATTTCTGTAGTGTAGACATTGCTGGACTATCTAAGTGCATAGCAAATGCTATTATTTGTCTGTTTGATCATTTATTTATTTTAGGATTTGAACTTCTTGGAGGACATCCATGTTTCCTTACATTACAAGATATACATCTGGGTATCAATGAAAGCATCTCTGACACAGCACGGTTTGTAGTCATTCTTTATTTTCTTTGCATTTTTAGGTAATGTAAATATTAAAATTCAATGAGTTTTATTCAAAGATCAGATGTTTTTTCACCCCCAAAAATTGAAGGAAAAAACCCTGATGCTTCAAGAGCATTTGACTGGCTTGAATCTACCGTGTTTCTCATATAATAAGGCCAGGTCTTTTTTTTTTTTTTTGAGCCCCGAAAAAATGGCTAGGACGTCTTTTCAGGGGTGAATTAATTCCCCCCCTGCGCACCCTCAGCTAGGACACCCTGCGGGCAGCTATGCCTCACTCCCAGCCACTCCCAATGGCCAATCATGATGGAGCATAGTGGGCTCCCTACCCCTGCCAAGCACCTTTGCTGCAGACCTGGGTCAGCAGGTGGGTGGCGGGGCTGTCCACCGGCAGCATTTCAGCTGCTTCTCAGGCCTCCGTAGCTTCCATGGTTCCCACCGGTGCTGGTGCCTCTCTCGCCAGTGCTGTCTCCAACAACAGCATCTGAGTTGCTCCCGCTTTTCCCTCATCCCCGTATCAACAGGGAAAAAAAAGATTTCGAGGTACCTGGGAGCACTGCACGCTGCATTTTGGTTTAATCCTGAGCGGCTGGGTGGGCATGAGAAGAGCCGAGCGAGCATCTCTGCTGCTGCTACCCTTGGTGCTCCAGTCTCGAGCTCTGCAAGTTTCCAAAAGTCCAAGTGCGCAGCCCGCTCCTGCATTCCAAGTGCGCCCAGGCCGAGCTGCAGCTGTCCCTCTCTCGCCAGCACCATCTCCAACAACAGCGGCAGCAGCGCCGGGAACCGTGGAAGCGTTTCAGCCACTTCTTGGGTGAGGGAGCCACCTCCGTAATTTCCACAGTTCCTGGTGCTGCTGCCGCTGTTGTTGGAGACATGCTGGTGAGAGAGGGACAGCTGCAGCTTGGCCTGGGCACACTTGGAATGCAGGAACGGGCTGCACACCGGGACTTTTGGAAACTTGCAGAGCCTGAGGCTGGAGCACCAAGGGTAGCAGCAGCAGAGATTTTTTCCTGTTGTTACAGGGATGGGGAAAAAGCGGGAGCGACTCAGATGCTGTTGTTGGAGATGGCACTGGCGAGAGAGGCGCAAGCACTGGTGGGATCCGTGGAAGCTATGGAGGCTTGAGAAGTGGCTGAAATGCTGCCAGTGGACATCCACGCCAATGCCGCCCACCTGCTGACCCAAGTCTGCAGCAAAGGCGCTTGGCGGGGGTAGGGAGCCCTCCACACTCTGCCATGATCGGCTGTTAGGAGCAGCTGATGGCGAGGCGTAGCTGCCCACGGGGCACTCCTAATGGCAAGTTCCCCCCGCCTTCCCCCCAAATTTCACATGTTTTAAACTAGGCCTAAATTTGGGGGAAGGGGCTGAATTTCATTTTATGCCTAGAAAACATGCTGGGTCTTCCTATGGGGGGGCGTATTGTTGGAGAAACATGGTAACAATATTAAAACTGTACATTTGACACATTATAAGTAAGAAATGGCATTCTTCCTAAAATATGGACAAGGTGGAAGGTAGGATAGAGGTTGCTGTATTGCCAATATTGTTCATAATGCTGTATAAAAAGTCTTAACAGCCAAAAAAACAACAACCCAAGGAATAAATTTACCTGTGTGGATATTGCACCTTTTTGTAGAATTCTGTGTCTGAAAAATCATGTCTACTTATTTTGAAGCAGGTGGAGATTATTGTGTGAAACAAAGTCACAACTTTTACTCAGAAACACATGATATTGAATGATGAAGGTTGTCGATAAGAAAAATCTTTTAATGAAGATTTTAAGTTTTTTTATTTATTTTGATAAGATCGGAACTAAAAAATCCAGTAACAATGTAGTTTAGTATCAAAAACAAAACTTCTCCAGGACAGTCTCCAGGAAATTTTTTAAATAGCATCACAATGTAATATTAATAAAGCCAAAACTTATGTAGACAATCTTCTGCATTTATAAAAAATATCACTGTCCTAAGGTGTTCTTCACAGACCAAATCCATCAAGTTATGTAACCTAGAATTAAATATTATTTAGATCCTCCATGTTCCTAAACTGTGTGTGTGTTTATGTGTGTAGGTACATATATAATTGGAGTTTAAGGATCTAAAGACTTTTTTGCATATTTTAAAATTATATATATTTTAGTTTCAATAGTTAAGTTCATACACCCCTCTCTAAAGAATGTTATTGTTTATTTTGAATAAATATGATATAGAAATTCAGCAATTACAATATATTTTATGGTTGAAGTCAACCAATTTAACTTTATTCAATAATGACAAAATAACAAGTTAATATTATGTGTGAACTGAGCCATTTGCCTGCTTTTCCATATTACATTGATATTGTATATCTGCATGCATCCCCTGCAACATAACTAGCACATAGACATGTAGTGCTACATATTTTAAAGTGTATAAAATGATTAAAATTATTCAGGTAGGAGAAAAATTGGGAAAGATAATTATTGCATTGATACATTGCAAAAGCTTTATATTTTGTTTTCTATAGGGTACTGTCAACCATGACAGATGCAATCCTGGCCAGAGTATATAAACATTGTGACCTAATCACATTGGCAGAAGAAGCCGTAATTCCAGTGATAAATGGGTTGTCTGATTTTGATCATCCTATTCAGATTTTAGCTGATTATCTTACACTTCAGGTAATAGCTTTCTATTCTTTGATTTAAAGTATAGCTTTAGCGGTTTGTACTAAAAAGTTCAGAATATTTGAGTTTAAGAATATATATATACACATACACACATACATACATACACACATATATATATATATACAAAGCTGATATATATATATATATGTATGTATGTATATATATTGGGACCTGATCACCTCGGCAGAAGAAGCCGTAATTCCAGTGATA